CCCCCCCGAATTATTACCTTTACATGTTTCCTCTGTAAAATGTTTAAAAATTAATTTAAACTTGCTTTTTATCAACATACATGGCTTTTGGCATTTAAACATTCAGCACCTTTGCGTTTGGTACCATTTTGGTCAGGTGCAATCTGCCTTTTCACGCAGGTGTAAGTAAACCTGCTTTTACCTGCATCTCTAATTGCCTTGATAGTGTGGTAAGCTTGATCACACAGCCCTAGTAGAGTGGGCATATTCCTTCTGACCATCTGTCTAATCTAGCTATTGAAAACTATTGAAAGATGCCCCTGTTGTACTGTCCCAAGCGTACCAGCCATATATGTCCATGCCAAGTATACATATTTGTATATGTATGTATATGTGTATGTACACACACAGATATTTGTATTCATACTTACATTTATATGCAGAATATATGTGTAACAGTTAAGGTAATTAAGGGTTGATTGTTTCTCAGAGAAGGAAAGTATAGGAGAGTACATACACTGATTCTTAAATAAAATGACAGGCATCATAACTTAAAGGTACCTTCTGTAATACATGTTTAAAAATGCCTTCAGTTCTTTCATATGCCATATACGAGTTCAGAAGAAGACTTGAGTAGCTTAAATTCTTATTAGCTCCCTGAAGAAGATCAAGCTTATTTTTCTGTGATGGTACAGTGTGTGTGTGTGTATATATATATACACATATATATATATATGTATTTATGTGTGTGAGTGTGTGTATGTATATATGTATGTAGAGAAACACAAACATTACCAATTCTGGACTTGAAGCAGCTCTTTTGCTGCAGGGGGATTCTGAAGTGAGTTTTCTAAGCTGATTTTTGAGAAGTCTTATGAATGAATGAGTGAATGAATGAATAGATGATTGTCTAATGAAGTTAAAAAGCAGTATGTGGGAACTTGTCTGCTTTGGTTTTTAATTCCTTTGCAGATGCGATGAAGAGTATTAAATGACTATTTCTTTTAATTTCCACCCCCACCCCCCCTTTTTGCTCTGTTCTGGTTAAGATTTTCTCCTTGTCTGTCTCGCAATCATTTTCATTACATAGAGTGTGTACCTTTTTGTACTTTAAAATGTTAAAGGAATTACCTATAATTTCTAAAAGTCATATAGGTATTTGCTCAGAAATCCCCTTTAATCTTTAGGTTTTCTTACAAAAGTCATGTCTTTACAAATGTTTTTGCTGCCTTCTAACATAATATCATATGCTCTGCTTAGCTTCAGTTATACCTATATTATTTTTCTTGCATGTAATAGGCTGCTACCTTTCTGTTGATCTCTCAAGATGAAAATGTTGTGTTATAAAGATGAATGTTAATGATAAACTGTATTTAATGATATTCTTAAAAGTAGAGCTACACATGTTATACACACACGTATATATAAAAAAAACACGTATAAAAAGTTGGTTTTGGTGCTGCTTTTTTCTTTTTTTCCCCTTAAATGGTGGATTATTTTTTTTTTAATGTGTATAATAATAACATAGATATGTTGTGCTGTTGTTCCCCGAAACAATGTTAGATGGAAGTCCTTCTTTTTCTTAGTGTTCAGCTGTGATAACTTAAGTAGAGGGAAGAAAATGTCTGCTGAGTTATGTGACTGCAGTAAGAATAAAAGAGCTGCCTGGCTTATTGTGCTGAACATTTTAAGATGCTGCTTTCTCTTGGTTGGTTGACTGAAAATAAGGTTTTCAGTAATCTATAATACAAGTGTACATTTTTAAAGTGTGAAAAGAAGAAAAATAATTAAACATTATGTTGTCTGTTTCATTCTCCCCAAGAAAGGGAGTTCCGTGCTCCATCTTTGGGATCTTTGGAAAATTGCATGAAGCTTTCTCAAATGACTGTCCAGGGACTTCAGCAGTTCAAGTCTCCCCTTTTGCAGCTGCCTCACATCGAAGAGGACAATCTCAGGCGAGTCTCCAATCATAAAAAGGTATAAAACTACAAACTGTACCTGGGAACTTAAAACACTGTTACTTGTTTTACCTTTTTGCTTATAAGGAAGCAAGGTCATGAATTAACTAAAAGAATAAAAATATATTTATTTTCAGGAACTTGGTACAATACTTCCTAGATGATCTGTGTCCTTTTTGTTTCTTTAAAGTCCATCTCAGGAGGTGGAAATTAAGATCAGAGGTCCAATAAGTGTAAAATATCAGCCTACATTGATCTCACAAACAGAAGAAGTAGTTTCTTATTACAGAGTACTATCTCCTATTTAACACTTTCCAGAATGTAGTTGGAATTTCCTACTGGGACTTCTGTGGGGTTTTGTTTGATTGTTTTTTTGGGATTTTTTTTTTTGTTTGTTTGTTTTACCTTATTCTGCTTTGGTAGAAAAGCGAGTTGGAAGATAGCACGAAGGAGTTCATAAAAGGAAAAAAATTAAACTACAGGGAGCATACAAAAATATGCATTTTTAGATGTATTTTTTGACATGTGCAGTGTAACTAAGTTCAAAAAATGAAGAATTTGGCTATCTTGTAATCCCACCTGTCCTTCCCCTGAAAGAAGGGGAGAAAGAAGAGACTGATATATTAGGCTTGTTTGTTCAGGATTCCCATGCACTGAGCTCTTCAAAAAACCAGTCCCCTACTGGAGGCATGAGCTGCATGAAGTTGGTTTTAATAAAATGTGTACATTTATAATGGTGAGGTAATCAAGTATTCAGACAAATCTGTGTTTGTTTTATCCTTTTAGCTCTGCTGTGCAAATCTTAACAGGAGTGGGTTTAGATTTGTTTGCAGTTTGGTGTGAAGGGAAAAGAAAAATTAACTCAGTTGTTGCTGCTAATGTAACTCTCAAAGCACTGAAGTACTCTATCTAGAGAAGGAACATGATTAGTAAGATTTCTTGGCACAGCTTTCTGAAAAAACTGTCTGAAACAGTAGTTTTATAGGAAATTTATCCAGTTTCTAAGGGTTGACATACTAAGGAACGCACCAATGTTCGAAGCAGTGCTATTTAGTAGGATCGAATGCAAGTACTTTGGTTTATTGTGTCTCAGAACATATTCTTGCTAGTTTCCTAAAATTTTTTATAAGAAAAATGAAGCGGTGTGTGTGCATTGGTAATGTGGGGACACAAGTTATGTGTTATCATGAGTTTATTTGTGGACTGTCTTCTCTGCTACCATGTGACTTCCTTTTTCTTTCTTTTTTTTTTTTTCTTTCTTTTTAATTCAGTATAAAATCAAAAGTATTCAGGATTTGGTGAGTTTGAAAGGTTCTGATCGTCGCAATTTACTGCACTTCCTAGAAGATAAGAAATATGAAGAAGTTATGGCTGTCCTTGGCAGCTTTCCATATGTCACTATGGATATAAAACCACAGGGTGAGTGGGAGGTCTTTCTCTATATGTTGCTTTTCTGACATTTTGATAGTCTGTTGGCAGTAAGCTTTTGGAGGACGCTGAAGCAAAACTCGCTGTTACTTATGTGGCCTGGAAGTGACATGCTTTTTTGAGTGGCGGGCTCTTCTACATGAGATTTATAGTCTGAGGAGATAAAAGTGCATTGAAACATTTCATGGATTCCCAAGCCAGCAATAGTTTCTCCTGCAGGAGCTTATCTGATATTTCATCTGTTGATTTAATATTTCACGAGCAATGTGGAATTCTGGTTGAAATGCCACTTTTATTAGCTATCTTAAAAAGCTGTGCTTATTCCAGAACTTATGCTCGACTTACTTCAGCATGGAGAGTCCTTTGTGAGATTTTGGAGTTGGAGACCCTGATGACTAAATATTCATGGGTTCCTTTGTGTTAATCCTTGTATAGTTTTTATATCTGGCTGAATTTGTCTATGCTATGCTTAGCTACATTCTGTGTGCTCTGTTTCAGTGAGTGTATACTTCTCCTCTCTGAAGATCAGGTATACTGTTAAGCAGTTCCTGTTAGGCAGCCTTTGAGTGGCAAGTGAATTGGTTCTGAGGTCTCCTTTCTTTTTTGTAAGATCAGTGCTAGTAAATGTGAGATATTTGAGAGATTGTTCTAATGCTTGTTTCTAATTTCTATTGCTACTGTGGCTACAATGATCAAATTCAAAATTCAATTCTGCCTTTAGTCTTCATTTGTCACACAACTGTACTCAGGTGTACTATGGAGGATTAAACAGTGCATATGCTTTTCTGTTTATCTCAGTATTGCCATTATATAAAATACGTGTTTAAAACTAGGGAATAGTAAAACTGCTTTGGCAGGGGGGTGGTGGTAGAGATATATAAAAATTCTCTACAGGGATGTAATTCTATTCTTCCCCAACCTGAGACATTCTCTGGTTCACAGACTGGAGGTATAAACTCCTCAATGGTTTCCCTGTGGGTTTTGTGTTTGATGTTCTAGTTAAAATAATCATTGCTGTTCTTTTTATTTTCCTTTGCCTTCTACTTAAAGAATTAAGTGTATGATTGTTAATGCGGCATTGAAATTGGGTTGTTAATTATATGAAAGTCAGGAAGATTGAAGTTATGATTCCCAGAACAAATATAACAGGGTCCCTTTGGTCATGTGTAGAATTTCATGCTTCTGAAGTTTTATGCTTTAATATATAATGCACAATATTATAGAGTTCCCGCAACAGTTATAACTTTGAATTTTCATGCAATTAAAACTTCAAACTCAATGTTGCTGTGTTGTAGTTTGCTGAATTACCAGCACTCTGTATATTTGGGGTTGTAAGAGACTTCTCAAATAATATTTTGAAATAATTTTTTGTTAAAAATTATGGTAGAAACAATGTTTAATGAAAAAAAAAAAAGGCTTTAAAGATGTTTAATAGATGTGTTGCTTTTCTTTTTTTACACTAGTTTTGGATGATGAAGACAGCAACAATATTACAGTAGGTTCTCTTGTCACTGTTCTGGTCACACTAACAAGACAGACCATGGCAGTAAGTATTTAGAATACTTGTTCTTTCAGGGTAAAGGCAAGTATATGCTAAAAAATAGGCATTTCTTCTTTGCAAGCTAACATTGTGTGCTGTGAGTATAACTGTAAAATTAAGATTTGAAATTGAGAACTTGTGCTCTTAATCCTCCCTTATGTTTTTGTTTCTGAATGAGAAAGTTTTTCTGGAACCAGACCAAAGTTCAGCCTGACCCCTTGCAGTTGTCTAGGGAACAGTAAAAGAATATGGCAAGTGATACTGCCCTGAGGTTTGTAAATAACAGGAAAAGAGACATTCAGAAACTTAGTTCTTGAACTAGAATAAATTATTCACTGAAGTCCTTAAGACAGTGTTTGATTTCACTTTATGTGGGCTCATAATGTTACAAATCTCTTGGGTGCTCTAGATACTAATGAGAGAAATTCCGTCCAGCAAAATATACATAACTGAATATAAAGAAGGTACACCAGTGCCACATGAAGAAAATGGACTACTGAATGGGTAGCAATGTGGCATACCCAAAGTAATATTGCACCCTAGTTGTTCAACATCTGACTTGTGATAACTTCTTAAGCTTTAAACACAGTGCTGATCTTCTTAGAACAAAAAAATTTAATGCACAGAAAGGAAAAAACTTTTACCTAACAAAGCCTGCAGTGTCTGTTTTTGTATCTGTACTATTCAGATAATTGTCTAAGTAAACAAAAAGTCTGAATTATGCTTCTAAGGTAAGGCATACAAGCATGAATATTACAGTTGAGGATCAGACAGGCTGTTATAGCCCGTTCAGCAGAAATAAGTCTGTATAAGTACTATGTGTTCATACTATGGAACTTCAGAATGTATCATCTCAATGATCACTGAGAATGCAGTAGATAGAAGGTAAAAGCATCGTATCACTATGCTGAATCTTAAAAATAAAGCGAACTGCAAATTAAACTTAGAAATTAATTAAAATGTCTGACAGCATATAGAAAACTCACTGAAGATGTTTTGTACATTTACTCCTCTCGGCAGTCTGGCATTGAGATACATGAACTAAAAACTAGATCTAGCCTTTTATAGGATACTTCTTTTTTCTTTTTTTTGTGGTGGAGTCTCATATTTGCTGTCCTTACAGAAGACAGCTCCTTATGGTGGATTTTTTTAGTGGCATATAATATGTTATGAAGAAAGAAATGCGTGAAGATATTCCATTTGCATAGAGATGTTCTAGTCTACATAATACTAACATTGTGTTTTGTCTTAATGTTTCATATTTCTGGTGTGATTTGTTGTCCTGTGTCCCTGAGTAGCAGTGCAGCTGTCGTAGTTTTTAATGCTCTGGCAACTAGAGCAGAATTTGCATTTTACTACTGCTTGCTTTTGTGATAGAGGATTTCTGTGCTTTATAAAACAAGTAGATTCTTTGGAACAAGATGACAGGTTGTTACTAAATTTCTTTGTAATGATAGAGATGGAACAATCCCAGACCAAATGTTCAAAATAGTGTTTAATTCTGATCTGTTAATCCCCTGTTGTGTTAGTCACCAATAATAGAATTTGCCATAATGAGCAAAACCTCAGGCTTGATTAAGATGATTTTAAGTTCAACTATAAAATAATAATTTGCTCTCTTAGTACAGAGAAGCATTTGTACTTTTCACATCTTTCTCTAACCAGGAAGTGTTTGAAAAGGAACAGTCTATATGTGCAGCGGAGGAGCAACCAACAGAAGATGGGGTAAGTGAAGAATGAATGTTCCCTTTGCTAGCAGTATAGAACTTTCCTTCAGATGTTGAGTTGCTAATTGTGTGCTTCTCAAGCATTTTTTCTTTTCCCCCAGAAATGCCTACTGAAGTGTCCCTTGAGCTATGCTTTTCTAACTTTGGATCTCAGCTTAAAATGCTTAAAGTACAGTGAATGCCTGAAATTTAATGAACAGAATAAGTATTTTAAATACTGTTTTCCTACAGCAAGGAGATGTCAACAAAGTTAAGAGCAAAGGATGGCAGCAAAAGAATAAAGGAACCAAGAAAGCTTCAAAATCAAAGAAAAAGAAGCCATTGAAAAAGAAGCCTGTGCCACCTTCATTGCAGCCACCAAAACAGCAGAAGCAAAAACAAGCTAATGGGGTAGCTTATAGATTTATTGATATTTAAGTCTTTTGTTCAGCTTATCACTCCTAATCCGATTTTTTATTTTCTGTCACATTTCATTCTTTGCTTTTGTAAAGTAGATCTCCTAAAATAGGGGTTTTTTTTGTTTGTTTTTTTTTCCCCCCTTTTACATTTAAAAATTACTGGTAAAATGAGGGAACCACTGCAGTAATGTTTCCATCAGCCTACTGAAGTTGCACCCAACTACTTTAGAAGTCTGGCTTCATAGTCCCTTCCTATTAGGTCTTGTTATGCTGCCTTCTGGGAGGTGAATTGTTCTGTATTTTCTACTTTAAGGGAAAAAACTGAAATGCAACTTTCTTCTGGTAAATTAAGTAGCTTTAGTACCTTTATTCTCCCACTGCATGGTGTTTTCTCCAGCTATGTTGTAGGTACTTCTCTCTAATTTTCCTAGGATTTTTTTTAAATGCAACCCCAGAATCAAATACTGTTTTCTGTTTGTGTTGCGGGTGCCATATGGAGAAGGAAAATTGCTTCCTTTCTCCTCTTAGCACATGAGTGGAAAAAGATTATTCTTCACTGTATATACCCTCTGTGACACAAGAAGAGTATAGATCAAAATAGGAAATAAGGGCTTTAACCTTAAGACAGGTGCCTTGAATGTTGTGTACTACAATAATGCAGACAAACTAAGTTAGAGGTTTGTTGGTCTCCCCGTTCCTCCCCCTTTCTTTCCCATTAGGAAGTAGTTGCAAAGGAAGAAGAGGAGGAGATCTCCGATAAAGGAAGTGAATCTGAAGAAGAAGAAACAAACAGAGACTCTCAAAGTGAAAAAGATGATGGAAGTGACAGAGACTCTGACAGAGAACAAGATGAGAAGCAAAACAAAGATGATGAAGCTGTAAGCCTTACTTTTTCTTGAAGGGTAATGTTGCCTCTGGGGTTGAGAGAAAATGCATTTTAATCCTCTAGCATCCCCTCAGGCTAGGCAACACTAAGATGAAGGAGTAATAGTTCTCCAGAGGTTTTCAAACCTCATTCCAGCATAAGAGGTTTGTCATTGCAAGTCTGTTTGAGAGAGAGCAGGGAAGGGTCTTTGCAGCATAGAAAGAAAACTTAAAAATGACATGAGAAAAATAGCTTAACTTCAGGGAAAGATTGTAATGCTTTTTTCGGTGTAATTTGTTTACTAGCTGCTGCAGATTTTGTGAGATAAAGTCTCTCCTGTGGACTTTGTTCTTTACATGCAGTGGCTGTTGCATTACTGCATAATGCATAGTGTAAGTATCTGCTTACTAAACTCTAGTAACTGTTAGGATAGTCATTCAAAACTGTAATTGTAATTTAGAATGAGGCATTGTGGTGGTAGGTGATTTCTGCACCACAGGTCTTACAGTAGAAGACTTGAGAGTGACAGCTGCAAGTCCCATACAGGATGAGAGTAAGCTTCTGATGGGAAGAGGGTCGTCAAGCTTGCAATCAGGACTCTTACAGTGCTGTAGAAGTGAGTTTTGAAGAATGTGTGCAAGCCTTACAGATCTGTTTTGGGTTTTGCTAATATTGACATGAATGGTCTCTTTAGTTTCACTGTCACTTGATTTTTTTTATTTTTTATTTTTCTTTTAATCATACTGCGTAAGTTAATCTCTGTGTGCCTTTCCCTTTCGTAATGTGCAGTGTAGCACAAGAACTTGACACATGTATGATTTCCATGGGCTAAAATGTCTTTCTTTAATGCAAAAGATGGCTGGTGCACAGTAACTCTTTAAACTTGTCTTTGACAGGAATGGCAAGAATTACAGCAAAGTATACAGAGAAAGGAACGAGCCCTTCTTGAAACGAAGTCAAAGATAACACATCCCGTTTACAGTCTTTTTTTTCCTGAGGTCAGTAATAGAAACCATTACAGTTGTGAAACATGAGGATTAATATAATACATATTAATTGCTCCTTTTATATTATTATAAATACTGAGCTTTTAAAAAAGTCTAATACTTGAAAAAAATGCTAACCTTAATTTACATCTGATTTTTAATATCCTTTTAAACTCTTTTAGATACTTTCTTATAAACCTGTAATATGCTCTTTCTATCCAGTTCCCAGAGAATTTCAAACTTGCATGCAACTTAAGGTTCTTTTCTGATGGCAATAATGCTAAAGTTTGGGGTTTTTTAATTGGTTTTGGTTTGGGTTTTGTTATTGTTTTTTTGTGGGGGTGTTTTGTGTGGGTTTTTTTTCGGGTTTTTTTTCCTG